CTCCTCAATTGTGTTTTCCAAAAATGTCTGGCAGTGCTTCTCAAATATCATAAGATCACCTGGAGCTCTTGATAAGATGCACATTGCAGTCTTGGGTGGGGCCTGGGACTATCTACACTAATAAAAGACAAAGATGCTAATTGACCGTACCTTTGCTATGCCGAAGCCACGCCCACCAGCCAGTCAGAGCGACTATATGCAAATTAACCCAACCAAGATGGCGGCCAGCAGCCATGGAGCTGGAGCAAGCAGATACCTGCTTCCAGCCAGCCTCCACTGGGAGCTTGGGTGGTTGGGGCTGTGGCCAGCCTGCAAACAGCCATCAGCCCCTCACCTGGGCTGGCCAGGCACCCCAGGGGGGGACCCCCACCCTGAAGGGGTTGTGGCCCACCTGCAAACAGCCATCAGCCCTTCACCCAGGCTGGCCACAGCCCCTTCAGGGTGGGGGTCCCTGCAGGGGGCCTTGGCCAGCCAGCAAACAGCCATAAGCCCCTCACCCAGACTGGCCAGGCACCACAGTAGGGACCCCCACCCTGAAGGGGCTGTGGCCAGCCTGGGTGAAGGGCTGATGGCTGTTTGCAGGTGGGCCACAACCCCTTCAGGGTGGGGGTCCCCCCCTGGGGTGCCTGGCCAGCCCAGGTGAGGGGCTGATGGCTGTTTGCAGGCTGGCCAAGCCCCCCAGCAGGGACCCTCACCCCATGAGGGTGTGGCCATCCTGGGTGAGGGGCTGATGGCTGTTTGCAGGCTGGCCAAGCCCCCCAGCAGGGACCCTCACCCCATGAGGGTGTGGCCATCCTGGGTGAGGGGCTGATGGCTGTTTGCAGGCTGGCCAAGCCCCCCAGCAGGGACCCTCACCCCATGAGGGTGTGGCCATCCTGGGTGAGGGGCTGATGGCTGTTTGCAGGCTGGCCAAGCCCCCCAGCAGGGACCCTCACCCCATGAGGGTGTGGCCATCCTGGGTGAGGGGCTGATGGCTGTTTGCAGGCTGGCCAAGCCCCCCAGCAGGGACCCTCACCCCATGAGGGTGTGGCCATCCTGGGTGAGGGGCTGATGGCTGTTTGCAGGCTGGCCAAGCCCCCCAGCAGGGACCCTCACCCCATGAGGGTGTGGCCATCCTGGGTGAGGGGCTGATGGCTGTTTGCAGGCTGGCCAAGCCCCCCAGCAGGGACCCTCACCCCATGAGGGTGTGGCCATCCTGGGTGAGGGGCTGATGGCTGTTTGCAGGCTGGCCAAGCCCCCCAGGTGGTCACCCCAAGGGGTCCCAGACTGAGAGGGCACAGGCCGGGCTGAGGGACCCCCCCGAGTGCACAAAATTTTGTGCACCAGGCCTCTAGTCTATATATATAAAAGCCTAAGCGACCATCTCACTGTTAAACTATCCAACCGGTTGCTATGACACACAATGACCACCAGGGGGCAGACACTCAATGCAGGGTTGCTGAGCTGCGGTGACTTGGCAGCTGCGGTTCTTGGGTGATGCACCCAGAACCAGAGAGAAGGGAGCCCAGTTCCTGGGTGTGTCACCCTAGAACTGCCCTCTCGCTATCCAGTACTCCTCAGGGATGTCAGAGAGCCGGTTCTGGCCCATCCCCGCAGGCCAGGCCGAGGGACCCCACTGGTGCACACCAGGCCTGTAGTTTCTAATAAGCTTCCAGGTGATGCTAAAGCTGTTATTAATGGATTACTCACTGCACAGCAAGAATAAAAGGAATCTCTGTGTTGGCTGTTTGCAATTAAAATGACTTAAAGAATACCTTACACAACAGTGTTTCAGATGTGGTTAGGATACCGCACTCCAGTGGCACATGGAATGAGAGAGGAAGGTGACCATTGCCAGGGTGTAGTTTAAGCATGGGATCCATCCGTAGGTGGACAGTTGACAGACATTTTAAGTGTGGGAAGAGACAAACTCAAGTCAAAGCATAATATTAAAGAGGTGCTTTGCACTCAGCTGTTCTTTTGTCAGTGTAATGTTGTCTACTTCCTACATTCATATGTAAGAGAAATTACTGATAAGGTGTGAAGTTTATTGTGTCCACAGCCTCGCCTGTCATCAAACCTGACAGCTCCATTTCCATCCTTTTAAATATCTGGGGATTTGATTTGCCCTGTTATCTAAACTAATTAGGATCAGACATCCATAGCTTCCATTTATTCAGGGACACTCATGTTTTCCGTTTGTATTACTAAACTGCACAAAGTCATTGAGCCAAAGAATTTTAGGTGCCCTTCTTTCAAAGTCAGTCTTTAATTATTAAAGCTTTTATCCGGCTTTATGAGAGGTGCCATGTTTCCTGAGGTAACTAAACCTTGATGTGGCTTTATGTTTTGATGGGAAATTAATAAATGACTTTGAGAACTGGGAAAATGAAGTGTGAAATTGTGTGGTATTTCCAAGTGTGAGTTTCTTTTGTGATCTGTATTTTATAGGTACTAAGTCACACTTGGTGGTGCTCATGGATCACCAAGCCTTGGGTTTAGAAGTTTCTTTAAAACATAGGCCTGAAGGGTACAAACCTGTGCAGCTTACACCACTGGTCAAGCTACAGGGGGTTATTTCACAGGGGGTTGTGCTGACTTTCTTCTTAGGACCAAGTTAATGCTCTTTTCTTTTTCCTCCTCCCTTAGAATAAACAGTCCCTGATGGTGGAAGTAATAATGACATAAAAAGGTATCCTTGAGGAATTCTGTTTCTCACTGGTCTTCTGCCTCTAATATTGCCCCAACCTCCTCCACTTTAGCCTCCACATCTTGGCCAGAATGATCTTCTATAACACACTTCCGATCCCATCCATTACACAGTGGTTCTCAACCTTCTGGCCCTTTAAATACAGTTCCTCATCTTGTGACCCAACCATGAAGTTATTTTTGTTGCTACTTCATAACTGTAATGTTGCTATGTTATGAATCGTAATGTAAATATCTGATATGCAGGATGGTCTTAGGCGACCCCTGTGAAAGGGTCGTTTGACCGCCAAAGGGGTCGCGACCCACAGGTTGAGAACTGCTGCATTACAGGATAAAGACGAAGTACCTTGGCTTGTATCACGAGGTCCTTCCTGCATTGGCTCCTGCCCTTCTCTTCAGTCTTTACCCCCCACCCCTTCACTTCCTCATGCTCTGTCTGTACTTACTACTCCTAGTTCCTAGAGCTGGATTTGCTCTCTCCTGCTTCAAGGTTGACCTCTAGGCTCTTTCCTCTTTTGGAGATGCTCATTCTCCACTGGCCACCTGGTGAACACCTGCTGCTTAGCTCAGATAGGTACTTTGTGAAGCTGCCTGTCTTAGTCAAGGCTGTTTGGTTTCAAGGAATAGAAATCCACTCAGATGATCAAAAATAAAAATGTTTATATAAATGAAAGAGCAGGCCACATCATGAACATTCCCCACTAGGTCACTGGGGATAGAAGAGGACAGTCAGGAACCACGGTTGCTCCCAGGTGTTGTCTGATTTCTCTCACTCCTCTCTGTTTCATGCTCTTTTGATATACAAAGTGATATTCTGCCTTCTCTACTCTTTTGTCACTTCAGCTTGCTCATGGCTTCAGGTTGGCTTACCCTGTCATCTTGGCCCTGGCTCTGCATGTATTTTCAACTCAACTAACATCTCATTTTCACACTTTCAAATTCTGAGGGAGTGATATTTGGATTGGCTCAGTTAAGTCAATTAGTACGGCTGGTGAGTGAGGTCATACCTTACAATGGGGTACACCGTTCAAGGTTAAAGGTGTGTGTTTGGTGCTACTGCTCTGATTTGACTACCTAGAGGTAGATGACCCTTCCGCTTTCTCCCAAGCCCCTCTCTTTACTGTGTTCCTGAACACAGTTTTACTTAATCTTTACTCAAAGAGTACAAGGTATTCAGACTTTAGGGCATAGCATCTCACTTCATATTGAGAAATTCTTCTCCAACTCTCAGGGTTGTTTTTCCTCTCACAGTTTCATGCCAAGTAAGAAGAGCAAGTTCACTTTTTTTCACTAGACATACTCTCACTGGGATTATAATAAAATCTTTTTTGTTGTTGTTGGTTGGTTCAGGGGACTTAACTCTTTGTTTATTTGGGAAGAAAAAAATTGGAATAAAATGTAAAAGAAAGATTTTTAAATCCCTTCTGCTGTGCAAATTTATCTACAGGAGTGAGCTAAAGATAGTAAAATTACATTTAGGTTAATATCATTCAGCTCAACTACTTCCTAAGACTATTCCAGCGAGAGTGCTTTAGATGATAAGAGGCAAAATTTTTCTAGGAAAACTTATTTAACTGGGAATATCCTAAAGAAACTCAATTAAAGCTAAAATCAATCTGAGAATTATAGAGGGTTTTTTTTTCTTTAAATACATACCACATTCTTTAAATTCTTCCATGATGCCCTATTTTGAGGATTTATCTTACAGAACCAGTTCTGTAATAGAGAATAAAAACATGATAATAAAAAAAAACACATGATAATGATTTTATTGATTATTGCCAATGAAAAATACTGGTTTTTTGAGGGACCTATTGCAAAAATATTGCATGATCCTCTTGACAAACCTCTTGCTTCAGGCTGGAATTTGCAGAATAATATAAGCATGTTTTCCTACTGTGGGTGTTAGAAGGAGGACACACCCAAAGAGAAGAATTGGGTAATTTTCTTAAAATTTTTCAAATATATTCCCTTTCTCTCTCTCCATTACCTTCTTTTTCTCCTTTTTTTTCCCCTTTAACTAGGAGCCATACAACTTGATTGTGCATTACTTTTTCCATCTACAAGAGGCTAGTGATACCTCTTATGCTTGCTACTTATGATTATTTGGGGGGGGAAATGTGAATGTACCTTATAGACTAATTGTGCTTTAGAAAGATGAGACACAGCTTGGGCCTAGTATATGCAGTGAAGGGAAAAAAGATGCTGACATGTGATCCTTGCCCTAAAGGACTAGCACTTATATTGGGAGTCAGACAAAGCTAGGCTCTTTGCCTCAACATTCTAAGTCAAAAGATTTGGAGTACGGCCTGCTATTATATCAAGCAACTCTCCCCCTTCCGGATTCTTGTTATTGGGTAAGTTTGTGAAAGACTGACAAAAGATCTCACTCTCGTTTTCTTCACTCATTAAATGGAGGTTAAAAGAAAATGCCTACCCAGTCGATTGTGATGAAGTATGAATAAAGGAACATTCCTGAAAGTACTTACATGGTGCTTGGAACGTGATAGGTTCCAAGTTTAATAAGTGGTTGTTCCCCTACCTTTCAATAAAACAAAGAGGGAATTGATCAGAATCCCAAGGGCAGTACAAATAAAGTGTCCTGGTACTTCAGAGCAGTAGGAGGAAGAGCTTACTTCCATTTGGGAAGGAGAGGAGAGGTGTTCCTTGCGTTAGCCTACCGCTAGGAGAAGTAGTGTGTGCAAGGAAGTGGGGAGTCAGGGGGTGTTAATGGGCAGGCTCTGGCATCTAATAGAACTTGGTTTCAAATACTGGCTTTTCTATTTAATAGCTAAGTAACCTGGAGCATGTCACTTTACCTCATATGCATCAGTTTTCTCACTAATACCATAAGGGTAATAATAAAACCTAGCTTATGGGATTGTTGTGAGTTACTAATGCACTCATCATTCATTCATTCAACAAGTATTTCTGATCACTTGTTATTTGTCAGGCATTGTTCTAGATGCTAGGGATATAGCAGTGAAAAGGAAGAAGCAGAACACCATCATTCAGTCAGTGCTCAAGAAATGAGAGTCGTTATTATTCTGCCAGCCCTGTTGTCTAATTTATATCTTGTTACCATGACACATATATAAATTACTAGAGCTATAATTGTTTGGCTGGAGCCACAGAAGAATCAAAATTGTAGAGCCCAGCTGGAAGGGACCACAGAGCTCCTGTGGAATGTTGTTGATGCCCACTGTATACACAGTTGGTAGCTGGTGATGCACAATACATGTGCACCACTGTGTTTTTCTAGAAGTAGTGATTGATTGATCACTGTCTGATCTGGGCACATGCTCCCGTTAAAATCCTTTTGTGAGCCAGGGCTCATATTTTGGTGGTGTTTAGACTTATAGGCACTAGCCATGGTAAATTTAACAGGTCCACATTATTTGCTTATTTATTTTGCCAAGCACCCTCTTTGTATACATGGCATTTGTAGTACAGGAAAACCATGTCTAAAGATTTTGGCAATGTACCCAAAAGCCAGTTACTCCGTGTGGAAGTGTGCAATAACTGAAATAGTCAAGAAAATTAGGCCTAGTAATAGCTAGCAGCAGGAATTTTAAGAGGGCAGAAAGAGAAAGGCCCTTATTAAATGTTAGAGGCATTGTTCTTGAGCACAAATGTATATTTTCCAAAATCCCAAAGCTGAGAATTAGCACTGTCAGCTTTTGTGAAAATTATTGCTGTTTGTGCAATTTATTAATGGTATAGATGCCACAGTAAAGACATTTAGCACTTTTATGAATGAGAATATTCTTTTCGGTTCTATTTTTAGCCATTTAGTTTAGGAAACAGTTTTCTTAAAATAGTTTCAGTTTGGGATAGACATCTAAACATGTTTTTATAAAATAAAAGTCATTAACGTACACAATATTTTCCAGAAAACAATTATTTCATTCAGTTATAAGTAAATTAGCTTCTAATTAAGTCTTTTGTTAATTTTCTGTCCCTTCTGTATTTACCAGCTATCATAAGTTACATTGGGATTTATGTTGATTTGTTTTTTAACATTTTAGATAGACAAATATCCAAGTGTACCTACTGTCATTCAATTAATAGGATAGCTTCCTACCTTCTGGGAACAAAAATATTGTATGGAAAATGAATAAAGCTATGCAAAATAGTGACTCTGTACTTCTGCAAGGTGGTGTACTCCATGGCATTGGTTATTGAGAACTGTTTCTTCATGCTCTCGGATTTCTTTTGAAATGTGACATAGGAAGAAAGATACGTAGAAAATTTTGGATGTTTTTGGTGTTTTTCAGTTGTATTTTTAAGATTGTACCTTTGACCTGGCCCACTTAGCCATATTTTTGTCTATAATTACTGTTTGAGTCCTTAAACACAGAGTCATGTAGAGAACTATTGAAGCTGTGACAGGGTACGTAGTTTGAAAACACCCATCAGATATATAACTATTAAATTACCCATTGATTTCACAGTACAAATGACGGAGTCAATAAAATCCTATTGTCTGGTACAGATGGAGAGTCCAGCAGAGCAAACAGTGATCCTGGTGGTTAGTGTGTCCTGGGTGCTTGTCAGAATGCAGGACGGGAAAGGGACGTGTTGTAGGAGTGGAGTCTACCTTCCGTGGACGTGGCCTCGATGAAAGTCTGTGGAGCACCCATTCCCTTACTACTCCCGACATAAGCCTTCTGCCAAAACACTGCCCTTGTTCACCCTTTACCTGGAGTTCCTATCACAAGATCAAATGCAAATTTCAGCTGCTTCCCAGAGCCTTTGCAAATTGTCCTACCCTCAGGGATCTCCCCTTCTCTCAACATCTGGGTGCGTATTATTTTTTACATACAGCACTCAATGTACGCTCCCCTTGTTACTAGTTTTCTCTTTAAATTATGTAATTTATGAAAGGTTCAGTGGTATATTGTTTATTCTTCATCTAGAAGGTCAACGAAATGCTTTCCTTATGAAGACATTATATTGGGAGTTGAAGGAAGTCTGGACAAAGAAACAGGATACATTTTGTCCCTGGTTCTGTTCTGAACGTAGAGAAGGAACTTTGAGAGAGCACTTAACCTACCTTTGTTTCTTTCCTCAGCCTATTAAATGAGGGAATGAACTAAACAATCTCCAGGTAATCTCCTTTAAAATTGTACTTCTGGGACTTCACGTTCAACTGGGCAGATTGCATACATGATTTTTATCTCCTTTACCTCTAAAATGGTTGGAAAAGAAATTTGAAAAGCTATAAACCTGCAAAGATAAAAAGCATAGGAGATATTCCACAGCCAAGTGAGAAATTAATACATATTTGGAAAGTGGAAAGTAGAGGACTAATAACAGATTTACTAATAGTAGTAGCTTCTTCAACTGTGTGCCCTGAGAGGCAAGACCCATGAGAAACAAGCTGATTGGCCTCAAAAACAACACAGAAACTTTGAGCCCTGCTGGTAGCAGTATCATGGGAAGTAGGGATGCAGTATGGGGCTAAACCCAGGGATGAGTGTGAGCCCACTTCGGCCTCCTCTCCCTGCATTGCTCTCAGAACATTGGCAGCACATGTCACTGGTTCAGGAGAGCGGTGGCTTCTTCTCTAGTTAATTGAAAAGCTCTGGGGTGAAAGAGGACTTAGGGAGGTATCTGACTTGAAAGGGAGGACTCAAAAGGGAGTGGGGAGGAAGGAAAAGGAATTCAGCTGGAACAAACAATGTAGAAAGGAATAGAAAATAGAGCTGAAACTAGAAAAAAGAGTTGAAAGGTGAAGTTGAGGAAATATCTAAAGGATGAAAACAAAACAGAGAGACACTAGAAAGAACTCCAAATATAGGAGTTCTAAAAAAGAAATAACAGAGGTAATTGAAGAAAAGAAATTATCAAGGAAAGACATAAGAATATTTATCAATAGAGTAGTTCATAAGCCTGCACCTTAAAACAGCATAGCTAGAAAAATGAGATGCCGAGGAGAATGAATGAGAAAAGAATCATGTCAGTGCATATCAGTAAACATTTAGAACAGGAGAATAAGAGAAAATCTTAAGAACTTCCAGAGTGAGAGTGAAGGAGGAGAGATATTGAGAAAGATCACAGAGACATTATGAAAAATCAGAATGGCATCTGACTATATAAGAAATAATATAGAGGAGTAATACCTTTAAAGTTCTTAGAAGAAATAATTTTTATCTTGTAAATCTATATATAGCCAAATACAATGAAGGATGAAGTTAAAATAAAGTTATTCAAACATGGCTCAGGAACCATGCTGTATTTCCTGAATTATAGCAAAAAAAAAAAAAAAATACAAGAAATGTAACAATCATAGTACACTTACTTGGCTCAATGGAAAACAATATTTATT